ATTCTATGATTCTATGATTCTTCCAAAGAAAGCCTCCAAGGGGCAACAAGATGAGTCAGACAGTGCAAACCAAACAACGCTGTAGGATCTATTTCTAAACCCTGTGGGATTATGAGACGTGCAGTCAATAAATTGGAATCTTTCATTCTGTGCCACTCTGCTCCCTCCTGATGGACACCTGTGCTTATCATTCTGCTTTAAAACTAGGGCAAACCCAACCACAAAAGATCCTAGTATACATTTCAACCAGGAGAGCTTCACCCGTGCTGTCCCCACATTCACCTGCTCGGTGTGCGAGGTGTGTCTCTAGGGAATTGTTGCTACCTTAGACCAAATGTTTTCAGGATCTGTGTGGCTTCCTGGCTCCAAGGGGTTAAGGGCTGCCCTCTAAGGACCTGCTCAAACTGAACAGACTCCTAAGGAGAAGGACGAGTTGGGATTTGTGTGAGTCTCAGGGCACTGAGAACATGGACATCCGTGCTGTGCTTTGGACTTGGTCATTAGAGCATTCGGAGCTGTAACCTCAGGGCCACACAAAACCCTTGTAGCCCAGTGCTTGCATTCAAGAGGGGAGGTCAAATCCAGTTTCAGAAATGCTGAAAAGCAGAAGCCCCTCATGATTTCCTCAACATTTGCTCCACACTCAGGGTCAGGGGGCACCAGCCTGACTGTCTTTGCCCCAGCTCAATTGTAGAGGAAGAGACCACCAATGAGAGAGGATGCCCCTCAGAGTAGACTGGGCTTAGTTTGGTCCAGCTCCCAGGGAATGTAGAAACACACTTTCAGATGTGCTGCAAGGATGCTCTGGCTCTGGCAAAGCACTTGGAGATACTTAAAGGCAAACCAAAGCAAGGCACATGCAACACTGAGGAGAGGAGGGAAGGCTGCTGGGAAGGGCACGGCATTAGTACACAGCCATAGTTCTTTCGGCACTAAGGCAAGGGACAACAGCTCCTCTGGCTGCACTCCCTGCTCCCAGGCAGCTTTAAGCACAAAGTACAAACAGGGTTTGGAAAACAATTGCATGGCCACCTCAGGTTAGGGCACAGCTGTTCCTCATGCTGTATTTTCATAGAATCATAGAATGTCTGGGCTGGAAGGGACCTCCAAAGGTCACCTAGTCCAACCCCCATGCAGTAAGCAGGGACATCTCCAACTAGGTCAAGCTGCTCACAGCCTCATCAAGCCTGACCTTGCACGTCCCCAGGGATGGGGCACCCGTGCACGTCCCCGGGGTGGGGGCCCCCACTGCTTCTCTGGGCAGCCTGTTCCAGTGATCTACCACTCTCATATTAAAGAACTTTTTCCTATGGTGTAGCCAAATTTCCCCTTTCCTAGCCTAAAGCCATTACCCCTCGTCCTGTCCCTAGAAACCCCTGTGAATAGTCCCTCCCCTGCTTTCCTGTAGCCCCTCTCAGGCACTGGAAGGTCGCTGTAAGGTCCCCCCAGAGCCTCCTCTTCTCCAGGCTGAACAGCCCCAACTCCCTCAGCCTGTCCTCACAGCAGAGCTGCTCCAGCCCTCAGAGCATTTCTGTGACTCTCCTCTGGACATGCTTCAGCAGGGTGTCTACTTCATCTACTCCAGGTGAGGTCTCCCCAGGGCAGAGCAGAGGACAGGATCACCTCTGTCCATCTGCTGGCCATGCATCTTTTGATGCAGCCCAGGATGGGATTGGCCTTCTGGGCTGCCATTGTGCACTTGAGGGACACCATTTGTCACTTTTGCCCAGCTAGACATTGAGCCATTGACCACGACTCTCTGGGTGTGGCCATCCAGCCAGTTCCTTATCCACTGAATAGTCCACCCATCAAACCCACATCTCTCCAACTTAGAAAAGAGGGCGTTATGGGGGACGGTGTCAAAGGCCATTGCCAAGTCAAGATAGATGTTGTCCAGAGCTCTTCCCTTGCCCACCAGTGCAATTTCTTCATTGTAGAAGGCCACCAGGTCAGTTAGGCAGGACTTGTCCCTGGCAAAGCCATGCTGGCTCTCTCGAATCACCTCCCTGTCCTCCATGTGCCTCAGCATTTCTTCTAGGAGGATCTGCTCCGTGATCTTCCCTGGCACAGAGGTGAGGCTGACAGGGTGGCAGTTCCCAGGGTCTTCCTTTCTACCCTTTTTATAAATAGGGGTGATGTTTCCTTTCTTCCAGTCACTAGGGACCTCACCTGACTGCCAGGACTTTTCAAATATTATGGACAGTGGCTTGGCAACTGCATCAGCCAATTCCTTCAGTACATCTTGTCGGGTCCCGTGGACTTGTGACTGTTCAGGTTCCTCAGGTATTCATGAACCTTGTCCTCACTGACTGTGGGAGGGACTTCGTCTTGCTGGTCCCTGCTCAGTGGGCCATCCACTTGACAGCTGTGAGGAGAGAATCTGCCTCCGAAGACTGAAACAAAAAAGTTGTTCAGGACCTCGGCCTTCTCCTCATCTGTTGTTACTGGTTTTTGCCTCGTGGAGTTAATAGAAGGAACAACACCTTGTCATCTGTACACTTAGCCCAGCACTGCTCTTCAGGCAGAGGTTACAGGCACACGCAGAGTTAGCAGCCCTTGTTACTAAAGCGTGTGGAACAAGCTCCTGTCACCAGAGGAATAACACCACACAGACTTTACGTGTTGCAGCAGGGGCCAATAAAGTCAAAGCGGGACAAAGTCAGAGCAAAGCAAGAGACAAGGGAGTTACAGCTCCCTTGAAAAGCTGGAGCAACCCCGGGAAGAAAAAAGCCTCTTCTGCCACTGGGTGTCAGCATGGAGTTACAGGTTGTCTGGTTGGCTTGTGAAGGCACCCAACTCATCCCCGGGTTGTCCTACACCGCAGCAGACCGTGTAGTGCTGCTGAGACTAGCAGAGCTCTGCTGCGTCACACCGTTGGAAGACAGGGCCAGGGAATTTAAGGACATGTCTACACAGACGACAGGGAATAAGTCCTGTACAGTGGTAAGACAGCTGTGATAACAGCATTGGTCAGGGCAGGCAGTTTGTGACATCCTACCTAGTTTGTTTGCTGAGCACAGAGAGGCGTGGGAGGGGAGCACCTGCACTGCTCTAGTCACCAGTGCCTGACTACTCGCCTCTCCAGAGGCTTCCACTTCTGTTAAAAGTCTTTCGTGGGGATGTTTGCCATTTTCTCTTGAAGCCTGTCCTGATGGATTTCCTGGCCTTTCCTTGGATTTTTTGCTTTTGCTAAGATTTTTTTTTAAGGACAAATTTAACTCTTTAAGCAATGAAGAACCACTTGAAAGCCTTATTGAAAATCCCTTCCTCCCCAGTCAGAAACCCGACCTGGTGTCAACCTCCTCACGTAATGCAGCCCCTGAAGCTGCTCCAGTCATCAGCAGGTAGAGCTGGGAGAAGAGCTGTGTTGCTACAGTCTGAAGGGGCTTTGAGAGGGAAGACCATGAGTCCCTGCCCCTGGGTTCTTTAGTTTAGCTCTTGGTGAAGTACGGGTCTGCTCTCACTGGGGAATGTTTTTGCTTTTGAAAAGTCCTGCTCAGGCTCTGGAGCTTGTGCTGCTGCTCGTGGAAGGGGACTGAAAACTTGAGTGTAGCTGAAGTTACATTTCTCCGCAAGTTTTCTTGGAAAAAGGGAGGTTTTAGGAACTAGTGGATGCAGTTAGTTTGCCAAGGATGGTAGGAGGGGTAATTCTGTTTCACAGGTGCAGATGTTGGTTGATACTTCTCAGGACTGAGAAAATACAAGGGATGTAACCTGGCATGGCTTATCACCTTGCCTTCTGTGAAGCCATTCCAAGTTGTTAAAAGTCTTTAAACTCGGATGTTGTCTACGTGGGAAAAAAAAGGTATCTCTGCATAGTGGTGTGTGACTGCTCTAAGGCAATTGCTTCCATGTTCATACCTAAAGCTGCTGTGGTACGTGTTTAGTATGCCCAGTGCAGGAATGATTTGCTTAAAACCAGAGACTCCAGCCAGCTGCAGTTTTCACCACAAGGTGTCATTCTCTGAGCTGTTTTTTGCTAGGGAAAAATAAAACTTACTATCCTTAATAATAACAATGATAATTGGGGGGGGATAGACATGACGACACACACTTCAACCCTCCCTGTATTTTGTGAAGTCTATGACAAAGAAAGATTTGTTAGGAGGCTGCTGCTTCTCTTGCAAAGTAATGGTGCTGTTTTCAGAGGAGCTGCAAGTGAGACTGAGGGTCAAGTCCCTTTAAAAAAAAAAAAAAGTGAAATACAGTATTGTGCATCTTGAAATCTGAAACCAAGAAACAGAAGTGCAAGGGAAACAAGGGGGAAAGCCTTGCAGTTCCTGAGGACAACCATTGCTAGTGGAGTTTTAAGGAATAAAATACCCATCTGTACATTTAAAGCTCATTGAATGGCTTTTGTGGATAAACTTGTGAAATAAAGGAGCTTTGGACGAAGAGGTTTCTTTTTCTCCTCCTCTCTGGATATAATGGCCATTACAAAGGAAAGCATCTTGCGATTTGGCTTCACATGTCTCTTCCTAGCAACTTTCATGCTAGCCTGTGATGGACAAGGTGGAAAGAAAGAGAACGGTGGTCCTGCCTGTTACGGAGGATTTGATTTGTATTTCATTCTAGACAAGTAAGTCAGTTCTACTCTCTTCTTTTTCAAGTCTTTGTCTAGGCTTGAACTGGAAATGGCATATACTGATACTGAGGAGGTATTCTTTGGATTTTGGTTTTGTAGAACTCACTGTGTCCCCAAGGGACCTGTAAAACTCCTTACTACTGGCTTTGGTTTTGTTGTGGTAAATTCCTTGGTAGGTCTATTATAGAATTCCATTGTTCTCTGCAAATTAAGCTGTTATAAATTTTGCTGTGGGTGGTATAGAAGCTTTATTGTGTACTTAACTTCCTAGTTTGTTTAAAGAATGGTTGGGAGAAGGGCAGCACCCTGATCACGTCTGGTTTCCCTATGAAGAGTGGAGGTTGAGGTACTCATGCAAGCAGGGGTTGGAGAGTTACCATTGCAAGCATTCATCTGCAGCTGAAGCTGTGGGGGGATCCTCACCTGCCTGGAGGTCTGCTGCTGTACTTCTTGCTGCTGGGCTCAGGGTGTTCTAGGGCAAGTAAAGACTGGTGGCTCTGAGAGGTGGCTGCTCCCTTTGAAAGGGTCTAGTTTTGGCCCTTGTGATGGAAAACAGTTAGAATGCCTTATTTGAAGAGAGCTTTATTTCTTCTACCCTGAGTCACATTTCCTTTGTCTCCTGTTAATCAAACGTGTATTTTGATGGCTCAGTTTTGTCTGTACAGAAGATAACTTCCTACCTCACTTTTCTCATCACTAATTATGATAGTGTCATCTTCTTGGCACTGGTAAGTTTGCCTCTTTACAGGCCTTCAGATTGTGGATGGAGAAACAGATATATGCTGAGCTTCTGAAAGTTTCTTTCTGAAGCAAAACAACAATTTACAAAAACATATGAAAAAGTACTAGGTAAAATGATCCTTCTCATTTTCTTGATTAAGAGTAGTTAACTGGAACCAAAGGTTTGGAAATGCTGGAGAATGCGAGTGCCAGAGCCATGGTACTGACATTATTAACTGTAAATTTCAGAGACAGGAAAGTATTTGCAAGTTGCCAGAAGTGCTCCCAGATGAAGCTTTCTGACTCTTGAGTGTTTTGCAGTAGCTCCCACATTCCATTAGTATAAATAGCTTGGAATTACATAACACTTTATTACAAAATACTGGATAAAATATAAAACTGAGACACTGGATATTTTATTTTGCCAGTTGTTCTAATGCTCCAGGAGAAAGGTGGGGTTTTTGTACTTTATTCACTGGAAATATCTACCTGTCTAATGCATTTTGTTGCTTTGGCTGTTCAGTTATTGGCTGGGACACTTTCATTGCCATATATAAAACAAAGAAACAACAAAAAGCTGCAGACAGCTTTTCCAAACTGCATTTCCCTGAAAGTTGAAGGAGAATTGCAGATTTTCTTAAGTCTGATGAATGTACTGTGTTATATCTTAGAGATAATGGAATTTTAACAGCCATTATGTCAAGTTCTATTCTATCCTGTTACTAAAAGGCATGAATTTCTAAGCTTGCTTGAGGGATTATGAATCTGGGGGGAAATACAAAGCCTGGCACAAACTTTAAACTAGGCAGGCTTACCTCAGTGTATGTATCAAGGTATCCAACAAGTCAGAAAAATCTGCCTCTGACAGTCACAGGATTCCTGTTTCTGGGATTTTTCTGGTGCAGGGTCTGATGTTAAAATGTGCTTGGTCTCCAGTGGAATTTGGAGGAGTTATGATCTTTCAGCTACTAATAAACTGTGGACTAATTGTCTTTGAGGAGGCTGATGGGACTCTTACTGTGGTGGAATAGTTTATCCCATATCCTTTATATTTAAAACTTTCTTTTATTCCTCAGATGTTAATCTTAGTTCTAAAAAACTTGCTTCTTATTTACCCTGGGTTTTTTTACCCTTCTAATCGTTTAGGGAATGTTCTCAAAAATGCTGCTGAAGTCCTGAGCATGGAGAGAGGTGATGCCTATAGGTGACTTCACACAAACTATGAAATTATAATAATAGAATCAGGGCTTACTGATTTGCTTTGAAATGGCTCCAAAAGTTATTTAAAATTATTGAAAGTGATAAATGACACTGAAGCAGGAGAGATTAAGATTCTGAAACATGAAACATTAATTTCAGTGGTGGAAGGAAGCCATTGAAATATTAAGCAACTTATTTTTCATCCCTTTCTGGGATGAAAGAAGTGATGTAAAAATAATAAACACAGCTCTGGAAATCACCAGTGCTGGAGCCCTCTACTGACCCTTTTGCCTCAGCACATGGTTGGATTTAGTGACTATTTAGTCCATTTAGCACCCTCGGTGTGTGCTGCTTGCAGGACACGCTCCAGCTGCTGCACAATGCGCAGTCCATGTCACAGTGCTGGCTCTTGAAGCCATGACTTCTGGCCACAAGAAGCCCCTTCAAAGTGAGCACATAACCCGCTGGGGAAGGGGCTTGTGTTGCAGGCTGCTCTCATGACGTGGTGCTCCTGCTCCCTGCAGTGTTCTCCTGAGGAGAGTCCTGCAAACCTGATGAGTGAACTGCTGAAGGGAAACCAGGTTTCTTGCAGCCATCTGCAGACAGCTGGAGACATAACTCCCTGCAGATGGCATGCTCAGAGAACCTGAATCAAATCTCCCATTTCTCATGGTCATGAAGTAGAAGAAAATCCATCATTCAGCCACCCAGAAATAACCCTGTTATGGTATGCAGCCTTGATGTGCATGTAACACAGAAAAGCTTGAATGATACCAGATATGTTGCTGGGTTACAACCACGTCCTTGGTCTCTCTGCATGCACCTGGATGTTCCAAGAGTTCTCCCACAGCTTAGGTGGCTAAGAGAAGGTTAGAAGAGAAGGTAGAGAAAGCCTTTCATGCTGTGACCGTCGGACCTCGGGCTGGCAGAGCTGTGTTATAAAACTGATGCAAAGACACCCCAGAGGACTGTGGTTCAAGTTGGGCAAACTCCTTGCCAGGTAAAACTGAAGTTGTCATGATGTTGTTGGTGCAGTGCTCCAACTTTGGAGGAAACTCTGGCTGGCCACCTCTCTTTGAGTATTGTTGCGTGACATGCACTAAACTGAAAAGGACAAAGTTTGTGCTACACACACACGAACGCTTAACTTGAAATGCTGAGCTGCCTGAAAGCAGGTTCAATGAAGGAATTGCATTTGTATTGTTTAAGACTGGATTCATCCATTTCTCTTGTGCTTTGGTAGAAGAAATAAAGGTGGGGAGGGCTAGAACCCAAGCTGTGTGCTGTTCAGAGTACAGTTGCATGCTATTTGCTATGTAGTTCATATGCAGACTCTAGTCACACAGGGTGCTGAGCATCTCACAGTGGAAGTCATGCTAAGATAGGCCCAGTGTTGTGGAAGGTACAGCCAGCTTATCCTGAGAGGACTGCTGAGGGAGATGATCCTAGATGGCATGTGCTTTGGGTTACTGTGGTGCTGAGGGGTTTCATGGGCTGAGGCTTCCACAGACTGAATGGTAGCAAAACACAGGGCAGAATAGGGTGCCAAAGAATTTACAGCCTGGATATGAGATAACATGTAGGGCATTCATTGAGAAGGAAGAATGAGGAAGAAGTGAGATGCTGGTAAAAAAGCAAATGTTTGGTTTTGCTGACATTGTCTAGTTATTCTAAAAACATCATCCGTGTCACTAATTAGTGAAGACTATGACCCACCCTCTAAGTGACATGGTCTCCACTGCTGCAGGGTGTAAACACCTCCCATGAGTGCAGCTGGAACGTTTAGAGGCAGCTCCCAGATTAATATATTTGCAGGTAGGGAAGAAGGAGTAACAATGAACAGGTCTTAGTAGTCTGTTGCTGTGTCTGTATCAAAAGGTGTTGTTTCCTATGCCCTTGCATGGTATGTGCAAATAGGACTTATTTTATACCCATGTGCAGAGAACACACGAGGAGCTGTACATGTGTGAAAGAAAACCTGGCTCTAGCAGATCCTTGGCAAAATAAAGGAAGTAATCCAAGCTGTTTCCTGTGATCCCTTTGTTATTTAGCCAGACAGCTGATCTATTTTTAACTGGTTGTATGAAACTGAAATTCCTGCTCTAGAGAGGCCAAGAGTTGTTTCTTTGAATTTAGCTTTAGTAGCTGTAGTTGCCATGGCTTAAGCAGGACTAAGTCCAGGTTTACACTCAGGAGTGTGGAAGAACATAGGGGCCATGGTGGGATGGAATGCAGACAGACACTCTGCATCACCAGGCAGGCAGACCGACCTACATGAGCCACTTCTGGCAGCAGTGACTCCTCCCAGGGGAAATGTGAGCTGACCACAGGACCCTTACAGAGCTGAACAGTATTCTAGCTGCGCTAAGCTGAAGCAATACAAGCCTGGAGTAGGTACTGGTAAAACTTATTGTCTGCAGAAACAGTTTCAAAATCATCTCTGATCTTTGTTGACTTAGTGATTCCTTGATTGTTTTTCTGGAATCAAGGAGCAGTGTGTGCTGTTTGTTCAGATGGAAGGGGGTTGCAAAGGTATGGAGACGTAGTTTATCTTTTAGGCTGAGGCTTGAGGGATGTTGACCAAGGCAGGGTGGAGAAATTTGTGCATTCTTGTGTCTTTTTCCTTGTTGCCTGAAGGAACATAATTAACTCCTAAGTCTGCTGTAGGCATGCAAAAGCAAGGAGCTGAGTTAGTATGTGAAATCCATGCCAGCCAAGACATGTGTGGATGTTTTTACCAGTGGTGAAGGTAAGGTTAACTCTTCAGCTGACTGTGGTTGACTGTTCAGTGGATGGGAGCTACCTTACATCCAGGATTGTGTGCACAACTCTGCAATCTATCTGCTCCTTGACAGAAATTCTGTCCATGGCTACATGTGTATTATTTGGGGGTTTTTTATGTATCCCCTGCCAAGCAGGAGAAGAAAAAATATTCTTGGAGAGTGATTTGGCTTAGAGGTTTATCCTGCTCTGAACTGGACCTTTCTAGACCCTTTAACCTCAAATGTTTGACAGTGTCTCTAGTGAGCTCTCATGTGAAGTGTGGCAGAAGACAGAGTGTTTCCTCACAGAACTGCATCACCTCTAACAACTTTTTGTTAGGTAGTGTTCTCAAAACCCCTCCTGAAGTATTTTGAAAGACAAAGGACCCTTTTCGGCTCATTTGTGTTCTTTTTAAAGACCTCAATAAAAAGATGCTGCAAAACTTCTTGAGTCAATCCTTCCTCTGACAACTACTGAGACTTCTTGATGTTAGTCCAAAACTGGAAGTTTAAGGAGAATTTGGATCAACATCAGTCTCTGAATCAGATGTCTTCAAGTGCTTCCATCAGCTGTAAGTGCACATAACTGGGGTGAAGTCTTTGTATAAGAGTTTGTGGTCTTGATTCTGTTTTCTTCTAGCTTATGAATTAAATAAAACCATGGGTATTCTGAGCAGGTGCAATGGCAGAAATAGAAATGAGGAGTCTAAAAAGTGCAAGAAAGACAAACTGTAAGGAGGTTTGAGTTGCTGCAGCTTTGAGTTATGGTGCATCTAGTCACAGAGAGTAGGAGAAGAGCAGCTGCAGGAGGGCTGCAGGGTTTAGCCAGAGTGTGGCTCTCCAGGTCTGGAACCACAGGGCCATGTGGAGTGTCTCCCTCATCCTTGCATTTAGTTCAGATGTACAAAATGCCAGCACAGTTGACCACAGAATGTATCATTCTCTTGTAAAAGGGATAATTGTTTACTTAGTCGTCATTTCCATTTATTGGGCTTTTCTCCAGCAAGAGAATTTGGCATCCTCAGGATGAGTTTCTTCTTAAATTTCAAGTCCATAGCTTCAGCCTTTTCAGCTGCAAAGTGTTGACTCACTGATCATCTTGTTTCTCTTTGGGAATATGAAGCGATAACAATTTTAAATTTGTTTTTTATTTTCTTACAGTTAGGCTTTGGAAATACTTGTCCTCCTCAAGAGTTCTTGGCTTGCCTTATGAGAGGCTTTACAAGTGACAAGTGTCTTTTACTGCAGGGCTTCCAAACAACACAGCTGAAAGCTGTAGTGGTGAACTCTCTAAGCTTATGCTGTCTTTGGAAAATTTTTGTTGACTGCAAAATGTTTAGTTTTATTTGGTTTGCCCAGTTTATGCCAAGTGAAGGCTGTGAGAAGCCTGAAGTGTGTTTCAGAAGGCGTATTTTATGTATTAGAGGAATACTTTTTTCTAATGCAGACCTGGGCATTGGTAGACACTGACACCTGGGCTTGACTAGATGGAGAAATCAACAGCAAGCTGTTGAGCTGCAGATGGAAACTTGATGCCCTAGAAGGAACAATGTGTGGTCAGCAAAAGCGTGAGCATTTCAGCACCCTTTTATAGCTTGCTCTGGTACAGATGAAAAATAAATGGATTGCAGACTATTCCAGTTGCCCCACATCAGTGCCTTTGGAACTGAAAGCAGGAACTGTCCTCCTTTTGGGGAGCAGAGTGGGTTTGGTTTTATGATTATAGCAATGGAAAGGAGTTTCCTTAAAGTAAGTGTTTAACATTCTGCTGCACTTGAATACCAGGTTGTTCTTTTTGTTGTGTGGGAACTGCAGATGCCTGAAGGTTTTTTTTCTAAAGGGCGTAAAGATGGGACTGTTGGCAAGAGAATAGAGTGAGGGTGATGAAGGGGAGGAGGTACAGCAGGAGCTGAACCCACACTGGTGTGAAGAATTATAAACACTGCTTACCTGAAAAAACTGCCCAAGTGATTTAAGACCAGTGGAGCAACAGCTGCAAAGGCAAACTCTGAAAACAGGATGCACCATTGACTTACTGACTGGCACGTTGTTGGACTGAGCTACTGGGTTTGTTCTGGTAAAGGCTGTTTTCAAACAATGCACGACTTCTCAGAGCTGTGGCAAATTGCAGGAGTTTATGTGATGACCTAGATACCGAGATCTCATTTCCAGCTGCCCTGCTGCAATAGTAATTTTAAGTGGCGGACAACTTTTGTTTAGAGGAGAAGAAATAACCACACTTTTACAGGCCAATGCAGCTTCTAGGACAGTGTCCTGTTGCAAGTGGGGGCTAGCTAGAGCTGCTGCATTGGCAGAGGCTGAGAGCAAATTCTTCCCTTAACATAAAGTGGCTGGGGAGGGTTGATTAGGGTGTGCTTTTGGAAGGGTCCTAGATTCACATTGTGCTACCAGATGGTTCAGAAGACATGAGAAACTTCAATGAACTGTTCTTCTTCTGAGAGGTGGATATATTGTTTAAAGCAACATACTTTTCTCTGTAGGAGGTATTAATTGGTTTACAGTTAACAAAGCCTTGTCTTCATGTCTTCTGGGGACTGATATCACCACTGCTATAAAGTCGAGTGTTTCTTTTATGCCTCACCATATAAAGAAGACAAATACTTATTTTCCAGACTGATTCTTGGAAATTATTTGGGCTATTTGGCATTGATGAGACTGCAGTGCCTTTCATATTCCAGGTCTCAGAGTTATTCCAGTTGCACCTGGGACTGAGCTTTGTGTGTCTGTGCTCTAAGAGTTTGCAGTCTGGATGCAGTGAGGGTTAAATTTCTTGTTTGAAAGCAAGTCCTGATGTACACGACCCTTCATCTGTTACAAGGCAGCGATTTTCCCACTGTCTGTGTGGTTTAGGTAGTTTATCAAGACCCTTGGTGTTGGCGTTTCCTTGGTCTCCTCTGACACACATTTCCATGGAGAATAGTAATGATTTCAAACCCTGGTCTGATGAAAGGAGAACCAAGAAGTGATCTAGTGCTATTAGTGTCTGTGTATGATTATGTCTCCTCTGCAATCTGTCCCTTACACTCATGGACAAAAGGGGGGTGCCTGGAAGGATATCTTTTAAGGGGTGCATTTGGTATCAGGTCCTTTGTGCAATGAGAGCCAGAGCATTTGCTGTTTTCCCAGATGGACCATATGCTCTCCTGCCTGTGCAAGGGCTCTCACTGCATGTCATCCAAGGTTGTCCTTGGACAAATTTGGGTCACACACAGAAAGAAAAGCTATCACGGAGGGAGGGAGTGAGGCCAAGGTTTTTACCAAATGGCTGTAAATGAAAGCCAGATGTGGGGGGATAGGGAAGGGCTCTCGTGTGCCCTGCACAGTGTGGTTCTGCATGCTTGCTGTGCTGCTGGGAAGTGAAGTCATGCTGCTTGCAGCCAGGCTGGGCTTGGCTGCACCAGGTATACAGTACCTGGGTGAGTCTCTTCGTGGCTGTTCATATCTTTTGTGCTCTCAGATCTAAGGTAGAACAGTCAGGTCAGATGCCTTTGCTTCCTGTGAAGAGAAAAAACATCTCAAATGTTCATCTTCCCTCAGGCTGCAGACCAATGACATTTGTATTAAAGCCAGAATGGCTTTTTCCCCTGTAAATATGTTTAATTGTTTTCAATTAATTAAGTTAGTGATGACATATTTATTTTCCAGCTCTAGGAAGGATTTTTTTTCCAATATTAATATTTCTGCATTCATAGAAGTGTTTATGCCAGAAGGGTATTTAGCACTGAAAGATTCTGATTAACCTGATTTTTTTCCCAGTTCTTACAACATAAAGAAGAAAAATCCAATCCCATTGTAGTCCATGGTTTGTTTCCCTGAGAGCAAAATTAGGGGGTTTTGCCTTTAACTGAGGTGTGAAAGAAATAACCAGAACAGTCAAGATGTGGATTTAAGGTGTTTTACTTTTTGTAGTCTCCAGCACAGTGGAATTGCTAAAGTTTAATAATCTATTCCTCCAACTGCACTTTATTCTCAAAATACACTCAAGCTAAAAGCTCTGCATAATGGTGTGGCAAGTGAGCTGGTGGAATTAATCTCAGATACTCTGCAGAGGGACAGGTCTTCACGCAGGGTTTATTTGCTTAAGGCTGTGCTAAAGGTCTGGTGTAGCTGCCATATGTTATTGCCAAGTGTAGCCTCAAACACTTGCCTGGAGTGTAAACTTGTTTTTCAAAGTTAAGTAGGAAATGTCAATTACAGTTTAATATATCTTCAAAGGAGGAATATGGACAGTGAGTGTTGCACAAAAAAGCATTACTAGCTGAGCAACGTACAGCAAAACGTTAGGCTGGGAAAACTGCAATCACAGCAATTAAACTAATATCTCCTGTAATAATTGCTTCCCTAGATCAGGAAGTGTCCTGCACCACTGGAATGAAATATATCATTTTGTGGAACACTTGGCCCACAAGTTCATAAGGTAAGAAGTGCTGCTTTGCAGAGCACCAGATGAGGAGGAGGGGTGTGTTTGCCAGGAGCTGGAGACCCTCTCTCAGCTGCACTCCAGTACTGCCTGCAGGTGCCAGTGCCCCAGGGCAGAGAGTTTCTTCTTGATGCTTTTCTCAGCTCATCCCACTGACTGCTTTTCTCTAGCTTTTTGTCATGAAGGAAATAGGAGTAGGTAAGCTAACTGTTCCTTTTTTTACTGCCTGACTTCCATGGACCACATTGTATTTTTGTGGGGAAGGAATCCTCTTGTTTGAGACTGCTGGGTACTGCCTGTGGTACAGAAGCTTGGGTCTGCAGGGAGAGGCCTGAGGCTGCAGCTTACAGGCACTGGATGCCTTGAGACTGGATGAAAAAATCCCCCAGGCCAGTGGGTGGAATATGCTATGACAAACATAATTAACCTTCCTTCACCTCTGTGGTGATACCAGGATGCATTTAAGCCTTTCTTCCTCAGAAATCCTAAGGTCATGATGCAAGTGCTATCTACATCTTTTAGGATTTCTCAATAGTTTGCCTTGACTAGGAAGGCTGAGGACAAACCACATTTTGCTGCTCAGTTCTGTCTTTCACCCTGTAGAGTTGTAATCCAGACAGTAGAGTGCCCTGCATGCTTGGTGTTATGCATACAGTAACTTCATGCTGGACCACCAAAATAATTTACTTTCTTTCTCCCCCATCCAGCCCCCAGCTGAGGATGTCCTTCATCGTTTTTTCAACTAGAGGGTCAATCCTAATGAGGTTGACAGAAGACAGGTAAGAAATTTAAAGGTGTACAGCAACTTTTGAGTCCTTGTAGCTTCCTTTGCCTTCCTTGCACCTTCCTTTGCCTTCCTTGCACCTTCCTTTGCCTTCCTTCCTCAGTGATTTCCAGTCCACTGTGAGCAATGTTGTGACACCTTCATCCATCTCAATTTATATGTCTCAGTTTAATTGTTTGAATCACCTGCCCATTTTCACATATGACATTCATTCTGCTAGAATGCATTAATGCCTCTTAAGGCAGAGGTTGTCTTCTTAATTTTAAGTTCTAAATGTCTTTCTGTCAGCAATTAGGACTTCAACTCAGACTGCTTCCATTGAGGGAGTCTGCCTTCCACAGATTTTCAGGCTTTTGTCAGAGAACAAGAGCCTTATTGCCTTTGAAACATCCTCAGGGAGTTTCTTCTGCAAACAAATAGGTGAAACTCCCTTCCCATAAAAATAAACTTGCAAGCCAAAGGTGGTAAACGTACTTGTGAGGTAGAGGTGAACACAATTTCTTAGGAGGTCTGACCCTTCATGTCTGTGCTATAGACAGTGTTTACTATGGATTGAAAGGGAGTAAAGTTTTTGGCAATGACAATTTGATTGCCACGTTTCTGAACCATGTTCCTGTCATCCCCCTGTAGATCCCCAAGTTAGTACCAGTAAAATCTATGGCATAGATTTTTTCTTTTTTCTCACTCTGACTTCAAGGAGAGCTGGATGAGGTCCTTTTACTGCTCTTGCTTCCTCTGCTAACTTCATTGCCACGTGGAACAAAAATATATGTAACACATGTGAAGGCAGTGTAAGTCAGCATGTGTTTTACATATTGAATGTCTATGAAATTGCATACCAGAGCAGCTACTATAGAGCAGTGAATAGGAAACCAGCCACTTTCCTGAGGAGTGTTCCACATACCAGCCTTGAAAAATGCCATTAAACCCTGCCAGCATAAGCACCTCTTGCTGCTTACTGCTACAAGAAGTAGAAAGAGAATTAGCCATACCTAACTGGGTGCCAGGGGAAAACCTGTTCCCTGCCTTTTTTTGTCTCACACCCTGTGAGCACACCCCATTGAAAAAATCTCAAGTCTGTTAAAGCTCTAAGTATGAGACTCAAGTGGAAATCTATTTAATTTTCAACGTTTTCATGTTGACTGGGAACAGGATATTGATATGGCATTAGACTAAAAGCCAGCTGCCTGGAGAGCTGCTCATCCTTACTGGAGGACTGACAAAAAGGTTGTGGGTTTCATGCTGGTGCTATAGTTAACACTGGCATCACTTAATGGAATAGTGGCAAAACCTTTTTCACCTTGCCCATGCCTCCCTGGGGTGTATCAGCATCTGAATGTGAAGACTGAGGGTGCTTAGCATCCTTTTTGAAAACACTGTGCCTCTAATGGGACTGAACTGACATATTTTAAACACCTTTGCTGTCTATTTTAAAATATCAGTGTTCACATTTGAAAAATAGTTCTGATGACAGGAAATGCTCTTGATTTTATATTCAGCCTTGTCTTGGTGTGTGCAAGGGTAGCTGAATGGAGGCAATATCTGTCTGTAGCCCACCTATGATAGACAGCTCAGTCTCTAACTCGTCTGGGAAACTGCAGGCATGGAGTGAGTTCTCTGAATGTTTGATAATGCAGTGTCAGTGTGGTCCTGCATGCAGTGACTTAATCTGTTTCCCATGAAGATTGTGGAGTTTGGTCAGAGATAAACCTCACACACTGTGGGCTTCTGCCTTGGTATTAAAGCTTCCAGAGTTTGGTCTGTGCAGCTCAGTGAAACAATAAAAGGGTGCCCACCCCATTTATGCCACAGCTGATCATGTTTGATAATGCAGTGTCAGTGTGGTCCTGCATGCAGTGACTTAATCTGTTTCCCATGAAGATTGTGGAGTTTGGTCAGAGATAAACCTCACACACTGTGGGCTTCTGCCTTGGTATTAAAGACTTCTAGCCTGTACTTGGCTTCCAGAGTTTGGTCTGTGCAACTCAGCTGATCTGTGACTGCACCTGGGATTTCTGAAAAAAATAGAAATAAATAGCCTGAATCATAATGAGCTATCAGGAAGGGCTTTAATCTTCAAGTCAGTTTGAACAAGGACTGAAGGTGTAATGTCCAAATAAACTGGAGTTGCCAGGGTGGTTTGAGATTTTGTCCTTTTTTGTGGCTGTTTGATTACATTTGTATAACCAGATCAGACAGCATAAATGAGGAAAGTGAGCCAGGTGCAAGGCAGCTGCTCTGCTTTGCCTCAGAAGTTTGACCAGTGTGTCATGGAGGCACACACAAAACAAGACAGCAGCCACTAGCACAAAACGGGGTGTATTGCAACCAAAGTTGCCCAGCACTCCTTCTGACAAAACAAGTTTGGCTGTCTGTTGGGAAGTTAACTACTACACAACTCATTTAAGGAAAGATGAACCCAAGTGGACATACAATCACACTTAAAGAGGAAACCTCCCACACAAGAGTGCCCAGGATATCACTTGCTCAAAGCAGGGGTGAGGCTCACACAGCCCACAGAGGTTTGAGCCATGGAAGTATCCTTGGACTGTGTCCAAGGGGAGGGTCCAACTGCCAAGACCACAACTCTGAGAAGAGCCAGCTCAACAGGTTCTTAGGCATTGCCCCATTTATACCCTGGTCATATACCCCCTGGGTAGGGTCCAGCCACTCAGACACCAGTGAGCAGATGTAGTTTAACAGAACTGCTCTGTCAGCCCTGGGGTTTTTTTGTCTGTTGGGGGAGGGGGAGTTGCACCTGCTACAGAGGGAATATTTATTTGGGAAGGACTGTATGGACATTGACCTAGGAGATGCTGCTTTTGTGATGCTTTGCCCAAGCCACAGGAACACTGGGACACATCTGCTCTATTTCCACTCCCTTAGAAAGGCTGTTTTGCCAATGACCAGGCCCAACACAAAGGATAACACCAGCAGAGAGATGAACCAATATGCAGACTGTATTGTAGACAGAAATGTTACTATGTGAATGACCGCCGGGGGTACAAACAAGTCAACAAGCTCAGACATGATCGACACCACCCCCAACGACCCCACAAACGACATGACCCGGCCCACAACAGGGGGTACAAACAGTGACCCGAGGGTGACCACAG